AAAGTTGAAAGTTGAAATTTGAAATTTGAGTTGAAAGTTGAAACTTGAAACTTGAAATTTGAAATTTCAGTTGAAAGTTGAAATTTCAATTGAATTCAAGTTTCAAGTTTGACATATATGGTAAGATATGGCAAATTTCAATATAATTTAATCTCATAAGATTTCTATCTTAACTTTTAAGAATTTAACTTAAATATTCGCCTCGTTTGTTTTTGTTATCTAGACAAACAAATTTAATGAGACTATTTGAAATCGAGAGTTTTTATATTGATAGATCTAGTTATCAATAGATTATCATTAAAATTTCAGCTTGAAAGAAATGTTTTATTTGCTGAGATACAAATGTCTTCAAAATCATTTATATTACAGGAAAGATGTTAAAATTTTCTCTTATTTAGAACATTGACATCTTGCCAAATAAGCGTGTAAGTGTTGGTGTCATTATAGGTTTTCTCTGCATGCAAATCCACATTCTAATTGAATGTTTTTGTTTTTTAGTAAATAAAATATTTAGAGTAAAGAATCAAAAATAATAATGTTTAAAAAAGAGAAAAAATAAATAAAAGAAAAAAAAGTTTTTAGGTCCAAAAGTGGTATCTCGACGTATAACAGTGTCTCATTTATTATCGATAAATAATATATTAAAACGTCGTGTTATTATTTGGGATAATTTAAATGCAAATGATTATGATCAACGTCGTTTATGTATGGGACCATATTCAGGTCGGTCATTAAATATTTCAAAACAAATATGTGGAATATTATTAAATCCAAATTGTGAATTTGAATTAAATTTTGTTCCATTACATACTCTTGGTCAATGGTTTAAATTAATAAATATGAATGAAAAAGAATATCAATTTGATGATGATGATGATGATAATCATCAAGATTTTCTTCAAACATCTTCTATGTATGAAGTTGATAAAGCATTTCACAAATCATTAATTGATTGGTTACCAGAATTTAATAAAATAAAATCAGCCAATGATTCACAACAAAATTTTAAAGTAATTTTAAAATATATTCTTTTATTATTTAATTAATATCTAAATAAAACATTAAGATTGATAATTCTCCTCAAGGAATGAGTCCAAAATCGTTAATATCATCATTAACAACTGATGAAGATTGTCAAGAATCATTAAATGAAAATCTTATAGTTTGCACATCATCATCATCATCAAAACCTCATATAATGGAATGTGATCATAATAAAAATAATATTTATTTAACAATTGATGATATTCGTTTACTTGTTGAATTATTTTATTTACCTTATCAACATGGACCAAATGTTCAACAAGTATTTATGGATTTCTATTGGCTTAGATTTAATTATAATCGAAATCAAAATGTAAGAAACAAATTAACAAAAACAAACGAAGATTTACTTAGAGTTAACCAAAAGTTTTAAGCCCTTCGTTTATAGAACCTTGTCAAATAAGGTAACCTATTCAGAAATGAAAAACCAAGTATACCATGTTGTAGAGCATTTTGAGATGCATCGAATTGGTATATAGAAAATCCTGTTTTCATAAGACTTTGAAGAAATTAGAGCCAATTTACTGATAGACGACTAAACGTTCACACCCATACTGATAATCAAGCATGATATCTTACTGAATATTGTGCTCCTCGATATTAGTCAAAAGTATTTGTACAACATTTTTTTCTCACATACGATTTTGTAGAGTTTTTGACGGGCTACAACCTCATATACGTATCATCTTCAGTCATCTTGTCAGTGTGAGTATAAGTGGATGTGAATGTAGGTGTGTAGTCGTCCATCAGTAAATTGACTCTAGTTCCTTCAAAATCGTATGAAAACAGGATTTAGCATATACCATTCGATGCACCTCAAAATGCTGTACAATATCGTATATCTGATTTTTCATTTCTGAATAAGTTACCTTCTTCGACAAGGTCCTTTAAACACACGGATTAGAACTTTTGGTTAACCCTAAGTAAATCTTCGTTTG